AAATCTATCAATATAGACTTATTGATAGATTTTGACAGAAATAAATATGTCAAAATCTCTCAATAAGTCTATATAATAGATTTATACTAAAGGGCCAACAAAATTATCTTACATGCAATTTTTGTAACACCTTTATTATTTTTGTTTCCAGGTGACTGCCGAGGACATTGCTGCCATTGAAAAGAGAACTAGGAAGCAAAATGAATCCACTGAATGGCATGAGCAGCGGAGGTGGCGCCTTACAGCTAGCAGATTTGGAGAGATTAACAAAATGACAGATAAAAGGGACAAAGACAAGTTATGTGCTTCCATAGTTAGTCCAAAGGCATTTAAATCAAGTGCAACTTCCCATGGTGTTGCTTTTGAAGGCTTTGCTAAGATTAAGTTTGAGGAGATAACAGGGAAAAGGGTTGAACCCAGTGGATTAGTAATTCACTTGGAGAAACCTTTTCTGGCTGCATCCCCTGATGGATTTGTAGGGGAAAATGCTATCTGTGAAGTAAAGTGTCCTTTTAAAGGCAAGGATAGCTTTATTACTGATGATATTAATTTCCCTTGGCTCGAAAGGAAGGATGGGAAACTCTCTTTGAAAAAAACAAGTGGGTATTATGACCAAGTTCAAGGTCAAATGTATGTCACTGGCAGGAAATTATACCACTTCATTGTGTATGTGTTCAATGATTTCTTCCATCAGGCAATTGAATATGATCAAGAGTATTGTGAGCTAGCTCTTATTCCAAAACTTGAGCTATGCTATGAAAAGTACTTGCGCCCATATATTGCAGAACATTGTATGTAGTTGAACATTGAACATATACTCTGATGAATTGGCATAATTTTCCTCATCCTTCCTCGGGTGCTATTGCTAATTATGTTATTCATGTACTACATGTAATTCCATTTATGGGATTTGATATGATGACTGTACTTCTAATTAATTTGGCAGATTTGCTGTTTTGTACATTTAGTGGCTACTTATTAAAGGCAAACTTGCAATATTACAATGTACAATTCCAATGGTAGTGGTGCTAATTCGTAAATTACCAGATAATTTTGCAGCTACTTTATTAGGCAGACTTTCACAATTTGGCGGATCCGCCAGATTAAGTAGAAGTATAATATGACAGTATGAAGTAATTGTGTAATATTTACAAAAAGCACATATTGTACAAAATCAATATTCAAAAATCAATTGATTTATAGGCCTATACATTTCTATAATACATGTGACTATCTGCAGTATGTATTAATACATTTTTAAACTAGGCTTAATTGAGAAATGAGAAAGTTGTAACATTCCATTACACTTACAGTAAATTAATTTATGAACATATCTTCCAGAAATTGCACGGAAGCCTACTATTGTATACCATTCTAGTACTAGTACAGTAAAACATGTCTAAGTGAACACCTGACTTTGTCAAGTACAATTTTTTTAGTACATACTCAACTAACAACTCTTGTTGTGTTGTATAAAATTCCTTCTTTTATGTCATGAAGAACTACTTACAGAGAAAACATTTTTGTGGCTCCATATGTAAGTGTTCACCATACACAGGTTTCACTGTATATCACTAATATATATATACTATTACTAGTTACATCTAAGAATGATCATTAAGAATACATTTTTGAATGAAACTACATATTACATATTATTTTCATTCTTGTCCTTAAATCTCAAGAGTTTGAACTTTTGTGCATAAAAGTGCATTTGATTGAATCAGTCATTTGAAACTTCATGTAGGATTGCACCATGAAGATGAAGGCTTGTTTTAATGTGCAAAACAAAAATTCAGATATTATGAAGATAAAAAAGTTATGAATCATTATGTGGATGTTAAAGTTGAGGGGGAAACATATTTATTTGACACCCTGTAGACAGTCGAATTTCTATTAATTCTTCTTTTAAGCTAATGTTCTAAGTTCCAATACATAAAAATCTTACTTAAATAATGTTATTATTGCCCAATGAATCGTGATAATATATCAAAGATTTCATGCCAATTTGTTTACTATGGAGTCTCTGAAGTTGCTAATTAGGAAGCATACATTGACAATTCTGGATCCCATATCTCTCTTTCCAGGGTGAAGTTCATGTTTCAAAATTTTCATATGTTTTCCAAGCCCAATTACTCTTTCCACATGGATACGCTTGGATGAGACTCTACGGTCATGTAACACCTCAGATGGATCAAGTTGGGTCTTACCTCTCAACATAGTTGGAGTGTTCACCTGAACGCCTTTAGATGCAAAAAGGTCCTGCACCATAATCCCCCTCTGCCATCAATGTGTCCCCTTTCTCTAGCATTGATTGATCAGACAAAAGTTTCGACCGTTCAATTATTTGTCTATCACTTGTAGACCCACCATAGGCATCGCTGATATAAGAAACAATCCCCCTTGGAGTGCAACCAATCATAGTTTTGAGAGTGTTCTTGTTTTTGTAAGTACTGAAAGTTGCACGTTGTTCAATTACATTTGATGGCTTAGCGATTGGAGTTTCCGTAGCATCCAGTATGGCCCTAGTATTAGGGAATTGTTCACCAAAACTTTTGGGAATATGTTGGGCGATCACTTCCGCACTCGGCCACCACTTTATTTCGTTTAATTGAAACCACATAAATGATATCCATTGGTTGGTTATCTTATGGACTGTTGTGGCACTAACATTAAATTCCATTGCTAGAAGTTCATCATCAATACAAAGCCGTAGCTTCATAAGTGTCAGAAGTAACTGATCCATCTCACACATTACTTTGGTTTTTTGTTCAAGTTCATAAACAGCAGGTCCAAGGCAATCGAAGAAAAGTTTAAAATGAGAATAACTGTTAAATGATGTGAGGTAATGTATACGTTTTGGATTCTTCTTCAGCATTTCAATGGTGAGTGGGGGCCTATAAGAGGGATCACTGTTACCAATGAGGTTGCATTGGACTTCCTCATCTTGTTTTAATGTAGGTTCCTGAGACTGGGTTGGTGATTCTTCAATCAACGTATTAGGTGTTTGTTCTATTTCAAGTTGTACTTCCACTTCTTGCACATCAATGCCAATGTCAATAGAAACTAAATCCTCTTCTATAAGATCTGTTGAAGTAGTTTCACTAGTTTCTAATGGATCAGTCTCAGACTCTAAGTCTAAGGGCTCTGCCTCTAAGGGTTCGGTCTCCTTTGCTCCTCTGTTAGAACGTGCCGCCCGTCTAATACCTGATGGGGTGAGTCCACTGGTGGAACGAACTGGCATGAAAAGTGAAGGGACAGCTGATCTTCGCAGTTGTCTTCTTGAACCTGTAAAACATACATATTTTGTTCAATAACAGTGGTAATGTTACAAGTATAAAATTGTACATCTACGTGTTTGTCAATCACCTGCGACTTTGGTTGCATTCATGTACATTAAGTAAATACACAAGATAAAATAAATACACAAGATATCGATCATAATGAAACAGGAATAATTCATGTAGAGTTCAAAACAAATGGCATTCATTTCAACTTCAATGTGCAAACACAGGCTAAACCAATCTAAAAATATTCATATGTTTCACGTCTTCATGCATTTTTTTGCCCAAAAAAATAATTTTTTTAATCTCAAAACTTTGATATTTTTGGACTGCTGCAAAGAGTATCGCATAATAAGAGTCAGCATATGATAGAAATCTATCAAAAGAATATTGTTACCCAGTATCGTGATAATTAAAAATGTTAAACGCATAATCACATATTTTGGCCTTGTTGCATTCCAAAAGTTGTGACGTCTCGGTAAGGGTCACCGAGTGCAAATATGATTGACAGATGAGGATCCCGGGACGGGGATTCCTTTCCGAGTTGTTTTTTGTGTATTTCTGTCTTTTTGTGTTAATAATTGTGATCCAGTTTGGTTTTAGTAAACATTAAGTTACATTTTTGTTATCGGGGACGACGTAATTTAGGTGGGATAGGTTAACCTACGAGCCTGTCAATCAACTTTCTACGGAAGCACAGTTCAGATCAAGTGATTATTTTGATAAATGTCTACTGACCATTAGTTCTAAATAGATTGTCTACTGACCTGAACTTCAAGGTAATCTTCTTCAGAAAAATGCCGGTAGCAGACGACATCGTTTGCAGTTGGCCTCCAAATTTTGCCACTTGGATGGCTTCTCCGACACCTTGTTATCCACACCAACCTTCTCTCGTTGTCGCCCTTATACTTAGGGAAGGTGTGCCCCCCTATATGGCTGTTACAACCCGGGACACAACAGTAGGATGGCATTTCCGATCGTTTTATTTACATTTTCTTTCTAACATTGTTCTAGACCGTTCGTGAGCGATAATAGGGTAATGACGTCACAGCGACACCTATCGACGAGTGGCGCGTTTTAATCCATTGGATGCCGGTCTTTTCTCAAAATACAAGGTACTTTGACTGAATACTGTGACTACAATTTTTGTTATCTTTTTACCAAAAACTAACATAAGCATAATCATATTCCAGATAAAAAAATGTGGAAATTTAAAAAAAATCTATCGAGCCGTTTTTCTGTAAATTGAGATCTCCCGAGAGTAAAGTAAGTTTATGGTTTTCCCATAGGATTACATGTTAAATATGACAATATAAGCAGCATAGGCTCCTCAAAAATACGACCTTTGAACCTTACTTACTATATCTCAACTTATTTTTTTCTGTTTCAAATTTCTACAGCATATGTACACCACTTGTTTACATACACTGTGCGATTTTCAGGAAATTCTATCGAGGATTTTTTTTGGCTGACGGACCAGGTCCCACCTTAAATTATAAGAATCATATTTTTGGATCATCTATGACCTGTTATATAGATATTGACCTTGTAGGACCCCTAACTGAAACTTAAAAAAGCAGAACTGTAAAGTGGCATGGTCAATATATCGTAGCCCAGTGCCCACAATGCTAAACATAAAAGGTCTGATATTTGCTAATTTTACAAATATATTGTTTTCATGAATCAAAATTTCTATTACATAATATTAACATCGATTCATCTTTGCAATATCAAAATCTAAAACTATTTTGGATTATAAGGAAATAAAAATTCCAGTATAATTGTCCGAACGAACATTGTATTTTGGTCGTTCGTTGATTTGATGCAACTATGCCCTCTATATAATAATTCCGTTTGCCGTTGAAACATACTCGATTGTGCATACTACCAGAATTCAAAATGGCAAGCACCGGTTGGCAAGTTGCAGGTTCAGGAAAATCCCAAAAACCCAGGCCAGGAGGCCAGGGGATGAGTAAAACTCAACGTAAAAACTTTGTGGATAACATGCCTCGAGTAGAAGCTATCAGTAAGTGTTTAAAATATATACTTATTTCTTAAAACTAAGAGATAAAGTTGACACGTATTTTTTTTATAAAAAAATCTTAGAACGGAAGTTGGATTTTCATTTTTCAAGTGAACTTTTATTTCTACTCCTTGTGACTGGCTAGAACGTTTTAACATTTACTAATGATTTTAATAGAAATGTAGAACATGAACAACCAAGCTGGCAAAATATGTTGTTCATTTTGGAACATTTGGAAACCAAAAGTGATGCACTGTTATTCCAGCTGGTAGGAATCTTTGACTTCTTTTTCTATGCATTGCACTATAATCAGATCCCCAGTCAGATCTTTTCCCTTCGTAGATAACATTTGTATTAAAATTGCAAGATCGGACACAAAACCCTAAAAATTCTAAGAAAATGACGATACCCTTCTACCCTTTGCATTCGTTTGACTTCACTTCTTAAAAGAGAGCTTCGTCTTCACTCTTTCAAACTTAAATAAACCTGTGAACTCACCACGCCAATCAGTGTTCGTCGGCCAAATATGACCGACGTTCTATATATGGTCATTCCTTCTGACGTCATCGTTGAGCCCGGAATTGACCAATGACATGCGCATATTTAATTAGAATGCATTTGGCGTATGTTTCTTCAAGCTCGCTGATTGGTGGAAGAACGGCCAGCACGTAGGTCAAAAGTGATTTATTACCCAAACTGTCACCGGTACCCGTCATGGGGGCGGGGTTACTAAACTGTACAATATGGTCTCTACTAGGCAGAGTGTAGTTTAACTAGACTCTGCACGCAGGGTAATACCCTTCATTCATGTACCACCAAGTTATCTGCCTTATCTAGTTCCGGGTCTAAAGTCCATTTCACTGCTTCAGTTCGTCAGTAGAACGGCAAAAATAAGAAATTGGGAGACCATTGTACAATAATATATGGAAAAGTATATTCATAATGTACATGAATGACATTTGTATATCTTGGATTGCTTCTAGTTTGGCTTATAAAGTGTGTGGCCTCTTATATTTGGATGTTTCTCTGCCATGTTATTTTCAATAAGATTAACATGGCTGAAATTCTTCAAATTACAAGACGGCACAGGCTTATTGCACAAAAAACTAAAAAATCTGAAATATACAAATGTCATTCATGTACATTATGAATATACTTTTCCATATATTATTGCACAATAGTCTCCCAATTTCTTATTTTTGCCGTTCTACTGACGAACTGAAGCAGTGAAATGAACTCTAGTTCCAAGACCATCTCTGCGTTCTGATCCACAAAGGGTATAATAGAGCCTCGCGATACATTTTATTTCAAAAATTGAAAATCTTGGGCACCACTAGCCATAGACTTAATTCTTACCTCAATTGATCTATAACCATCATCAGAAACATTCTTCCAAAGAAGTAAAAGTTGCGGCTGTCTCAAATTGCAGAGGTATACACTCCACTTTTCAAATCTGCCAGTATTTCAAAATTTGGATTGTTGTAGTTGAGAAATGCACAGCCTCTTACTCAATACTCAATACCTACTTAACAGATAGGGTGTTTACACAATATAATATCAATGAAAACTTCCAGGTCCTTTGGAAGAGAAGCCCACCATGTTTGAACAAGCTTTCAAAGAGAAGACTGTAACTCAGAATGGCAAGGAAAACACTCGACCTTCTACTGACAATGTGGCCAAGAAGACGCAGGGGAAGAAAAAACCTCAACCTGAGAAAAAGAAAGAACCCAGAGTTACCTTTGAAGAGGCTTTAGCGAAGGTATAGTATTTTTTATCCCACAAGAATTGTTTTTCTGTCCATATTTTTCTGTTATTATGGAGAATGTGTGATATTTTTCAGAAAATTTTATCAATGTCCTCGTAATCATATGTGGTTGATATCATTTATCAGCTGCATATTAAACTTTTGATTGTGATCATTGGATAAATCCAATATCAGATCATTTCAAGTGATATCATATTTATACTATAGATAAGGCTGTTTTTGATTTATAGGCATAAAATTAGTCCCTTATTAAAGGATTTTGATCACTTTTCATAAAAATTTACATAAAACCAAAGGTGAAGAATTAATGTTTGAACCTTTTGAATTTTGAAGTGGAAAAAACATATCGTGGAAAAGACATATCGACCATTTGACTTTGGTTGGTCAAAATAACATATTGTTTGTAAATGACAATATTATAATTATAGGCATAAATTGATTTTAGATTGATGCTGGAGAATTGGAGTCTATCTTGGCGAAGGACCAGCAGACATTTCCTGACAACTCCTCTGTCTGGTTGAAGGATATGGCAAGCTACCTTAACATGAAGCTGGATGATATTGCTGACCCTTCCCCTGTATTTGAGGGACAAGCCCCTGGTACGTAATAATATGATCATTGTGGATCCACCAAGAAGTGGTTTCATGTTGTTATGGTAGCTACTGCATTTTTTGAACGGGGTTACATTGTATAGTAGACTATGGGTCCATTTTCAAAATGCCAACTGTTGCACTTTTATATAGTGACATTATGAACATGATGGACTTAACAAGATTCTTCCTACATCTGAAAGTGTTGATACTATGCTATATTCAACATATCTCACTTTGAACATGCATTTTCTATTGTAGACTTCCCTGCCTGCAAGCTGCCCAAGGGTGTTCAGAAGTTGTTGAGAGGCGTGCTATCTAAGTGTTCCCAGGCAACTTTGGAACTGTTCCTAGAGCACTGTGTACAATCAATGATCACTGACATGGGAAAAGGTGAGACAAAGAGGGATTCAGAGAGTGTTTGTACACTTTTAACACATCCACCAAGACTTGCTTCTATCTTTAAATAAATTCTAGCTTTCCACCCACAGGGAAATGAAAATATAATGGGCTAAGAGACAATAATGTGTTTGTATTTTGAAAGATTTGACTTGAATACAACATTTTTAGCTTTCAAATCTGTCAGCTCATGTAATAATAAGAGAACCTTTAAATGAATGTGAAATGAAAGTATAGGTAAAATATATATCTTGTAGGTATTGCCACTGGTGGATATCGTATCTTCATTCAACTCATGGCCACAGAGAAACCAGACCTATTTGTTGAAACTGTTTCTAAGGTGAGACTGAAAATATATTACCTGGGAAGTAATGTGTTATCTATTATTGTGAGGTTTCCTCTCTTGAATCATTTGGAAAGATACCAAAAACCAAGAGAGTATGAGTTGTTTAGTGTGATTAGAAATGAAATAGAAAGTTGACAAGATAAGATAAGAAAATGTGCTTGAACTAAATTATTGACTTAATAATTGTCCATGCCAAAATTGAATCCTATTAAATATTAAATTCTGTTGAATCTGGAACATTCATGTATTAAAAGTTTATTATATAAAAAACAGCATATCCCATGGTTGTTTGTTCTTTTTTATAGTACCAGGACATGATGAAGTCTAACCAGAACAGACCACTGAGGTGTCTGTCAATCATGTGGGCCCTGGGGCAGTGTGGGATCAAAAGTCTCAAATGTGGCATCAAAGGTACATTGTATGTCAATGTAACATATGTATATGATTATTATTAGATATACTTATCAGCACTTTGGTTGCTCTATCTGTGTTTGGTTTAGAGTCATTTGTGTCATCAAAGATATTTACTATTTTTCGTGTAGCATTCACACGATTACTGATTTGATTGCTCAATCTGATTGTCAGCATATATACATATTGTATGTACATTGATTACATTTAAGTCTTGCAGTGCTGCTTTTTCAGTTATAAAATTAGTGGCCTCTCAGCATGAGTTTAACTGTTAACAATCCAGATCTACATGTACTTTTGCTTTCCTTAACAATCAAATACCAAATTCTTTTATACGGTGCAACATTTCTAAGATGACCATAATGTTTACCTATTATACACAGAGGTTCTAAGGTGTGACACTATATATTTACATCATAGCTGGGAAAGTTCATATACAGAAAAAAAACTAGTACTGTAGCAGTGACCATCCCAGGAATTTCTCTCAACAGGGGTTCTAATTTAACTTTTTGTCAAACTACAATATGCCAATATTTCATCATTTCATCAATATATTATTTAAATTTACTTTCTTGTATCATTGTCATAAAACTTCCATCCTCCTTCCCATCCTACTTGCCTTTTTAGAGGTATATCCTGTTTGGCGTGATACAGGCCTTCTTTAGACCATAGTTAAAGGAATATTCATTGCCAGACCCTTTCTCTCTTGATATGGTAGCTATAATCATATATATAGTTTCCATATTTAGCAAAACATGGGAAAATGTTTTAACATGGTCAATATTGATCATTTAAAAATCTAGTGCTTATTTCCAGTGAGCTGCCATCTTTTAAGATTTCTTGCAGGAAGTGATGTCATCAAGTCTCAACTTCTATAACCTTGCCCATAACAGTATAGGAAAGTAGCACAAAATCACTTCTAGACAAGTGATCATTACTTTCTGTGCAAAAATATTTTCAGGGCTTGTCAACTTAGAATAAAAGAAGAGATTTTCAGAAGGATTAAATAAGATACAAAGTTGAAAAAGAATATTTAGCTGGTTTTGTAATTCTTAATAGCTCCTCACCTAATGCTATATGCAAAATTCAGAGTCGATGACATCACTTCCTGTGTGAAATTTTAAAAGATGGCAGCATACTGGAATTGAGCATCACATTTCCAAGTGATCAAATTTGACCATATCAAAACAGTTTTGCGTGTTTTGCTAAACATGGCAAGCATATATATGGTTATAGCTACCATATGAGGAGAAAGATGGTTTGGCAAGGAATATTCCTTTAAGTATATAATGTCTGTTTGCAGTATGGTTGAACCTGATGGTGCCAGTGTTAGGTACAAGATCTCTCTCCAGCTATACTGTTGACTATCTTGACAATCTTTTCAGGTATTTAATCTAATATTGACATTGCCAATTGAATAATTATGAATTAATTACAATAAGATTTTTAAAGGACTATATTTGAGTTTGAAATGATATGTACAAAACCATCCACTTTGTTTACACTAGTTGTATCATATTGTGCTCTAATTATGTGATCTACTACATTTCTATAGGCTTGCAGAACATATTATTCGTTAATTAGCCAAATTTCAAATTTTGAATCATCAAATTTTGTAAGCCATTTTAATACTCCTAGAATTACACAATTTTCATGTATAAATTTTAATGCATTATATTTTTACATTTAAATCTCTTTTAAGTGCACACTTAAAGGTACTGTTAACCCTTCAACTTGTGATATTTATAGGCAACATGGAGATCTGAAGCCTGCATTTGATGTCATGTCTTTTCGAGACTTTTTCCCTATTATGGATGCTATATTCATTCCTAGCTCCAACCTTTCTACTCAACTCCAAAAGAAACTTCTGGCTCTCTACCCAAAGATAAAGGTACCTATGATTACTCAACTGATAATGCTGATATTACTAAGAAATAATTTTGTGTATTGACAGACATTTATTTCAGATTTTGATTAAAGAAGTGTAGATTGTTGTGTACCTTGTTGAAATTTCATCTGTGTACTTAAAGACAAGTGCTTAATGTAAAATACAATAAAAAATCAATTTGCACCATTGATTAATTTTGTTACAAACTCTGTCTTCTGTAACCACTAGAGCTTTAAAAATTAAAATTACTGATAGTTTGTACATGTCATAATGCTTATTTAGTGAGCAATTTCTTCTCCCATTGCTTTTCAGGAAATTGCTTTTGGGCAACATCCTGATGCTACTCTGAGGCACTACTTTCCTTCTTTCCTGGCTAGGGCCACACTGCAGGGGAACAACAACCTAAGAGCAGAGGTCAGTTAACAAGAATATCATGTTATGTTGGTTTATGTGTCTTCCAGTATGAAGAACAATCATAAATATAAAGGATTAAATCATCAATTTTATAAAAGTGATATTGATATTGAACAAAATGATTAATTTTGTCTGGCATGGAATTAAATATGCAATCAATATTAATATTTTTGTATTGCCCATGTAGCAGTCCATGTGGAATACTTCTTAATTGATAGTTGATCCAGTTGACTGAAGAAAGTATTGAAAACCCCCTGAATGGAAAACTGTCCACGATGGAAAAATACAATATGCAAAATAGTCAACTGATTCTGTTTATCCCTTTCACCCATATCCCCATACTGCAATCTACAAATGATATACATGTACATGTTTCAGTTGGTGGAGTGCTTGGTGCACTGCCTTGCAACAGACAAGCAATGCTTCAGTGTGTGGCGCCAGATGTACACCAAACACATGCAACAGTCGAGGTAAGTTGGGAACACTGGCTCTGTGAACCATTTACAAAAAATGTCTGAATGGTCATGTTTTGAAATGTTTAATAGAATAGAAGAGAGGGAAAATTGCAAGGATTATAGTTTTACAGTACACAGACATTTATTTATAAATATGACCCATTTCTCTCCATTCCTCTTCTTCAAGGGTCTATGAAATTCCTTCATTCATCAAATGTAAAAACATTGTGCTAGATAGTCCTTATTAATCTTTGCTCCAAAAAGATGAAGTGTGAATAAATTTTTAACTTCTACACTCCATTCAGACCAGGTGTTGCTCATTTTCTATACAACATGCTAAAAAATGATCGGATCCGGTTCAAAAATAATTGGCTCTCGACTGTAGCAAGTGCTTATGTTGTTGTCCCTGATTCTAATCCTTTCCATTCTCCTATTTAGTGTTCTGTTAGAGCACTTCCTAACACAGTGGGACAAAGTGAGCAGTAAGGTTGACAAGACACAGCTGAAGGAGACGATTAATGCATTCAGCATCACCAATGAGGAGTTGGCCACGCAGGGAAAGACAACAGCTGATGGCTACAAGAACTGTGTGCAGAATTGTAAGGTGAGAGAATTTGAGAGCAGTTGAATTAATGGTGAATAGGAAAATTGCCACGTTGGCCATGTTTTGAAATTCTAAAAATGAGTAAGGGGAACCAGAATATTTAAAAAAGTATTTAATCAATACTTTATGCCATACATACATGAGGCTTTTTTCATGGAACTGGCTGAAAAACATTTGAGTGGACCTTGCACATTTGAGTGGGCCTTGCAAATTTGAGTGCAACATTTGAGTGGACCTTGCACATTTGAGTGCAACATTTAAGTGGGCCTTGCAAATTTGAGTGCGACCTGGAACACTTATTTGCATTAGAAATGAGATTGGGTCCATTAATGACTGTAACCTGACTAACTTGAATGTAACCTAAAATCACATTTTTTAAAAGTGTTATATTGTTGACATCTTGTGCCGCGTGGCTGGCAGGCAAAATTCAAGAAAACCTCTTACTGGTTCAATTTTTACAGATGCAAAAGCAGACAAGCTAAGATATGATAAGGTTTTGAATATACTGGGTAAATTAATTGGTGGCCATTTTGAATTTTCCAATACAAAGGTGTGATATTTATCACTGTGTGTTTTGTTTTGTTTAGTTGTTGCTGTTGAAGATGAGCAAGGGCAGATTCCCATGGGGCTTGATGTTCTTCCTGTTCTTTGCTGCAATAGCTGGATTGGTGGCCTATGACATTGTCACATCCAAGACTGGATTCAAAGGTGAGCAATACATGGTTAAAGTTGTGAAAAAAGCACTTCTCACTTACTGATTAAAATTGGATTATGGACCAGTTATAATGTTACAACCAGAAGTGATAACATATTGTCATTGTCTCCAACTTTTTTGTGGACTTCATTCAGTGATTGGTTTTTGACATTCGGCTGTCAGCATTTGGCATCTGTAACAAATGCCATGTGGTGACATTTTGCATGTTAATGCCCTGTATTATTTCTGGTAGTAGAATGCATAAAACTGATTGTACTATCAGACTCGAAGAACAATTATAACATATGTTTTTCTGTATTGAAACAAAATCTTTCCAGGGTCACGTACAAGCCAGATGTTAAAAGATGCGGGAGTGTTGGTGTTCTTGGAACATCTCTACAACCGTATAACAGTGTATACAGGCAAGGCAACTGGGTATGTACTTGATATTTAAGTCTTATATACTTTTTTGTCACACTCTTATATCTCATTATAATTTCGTTTTTCATTTTTGTAAATGAATGAATACAAATCTGTCTATCAATACAAATGATACCATTGAACAAAGATAACTCTAAATAATTTTATCATTTAGTTTTCTCATGGGCTCTATCAGATAGTAAAGCCCATGGTTTTCTGTAATGCTTCTGAACTAAGAAATAAAATTTTCACTCTCATTTTCTCTGCATAGGTGGCTTCAAGATAATGTACCCTATTACTACGGTCAAGTATGTTCAGTTGTTGGACCATATCTTACTCTGGCCTGGGAATCACTCGTAGCAGGGGCTTTGTATATAGTTGCACTATTTAAGGCAACCAACCAGTGGGTAGTAGAAAAGTGGCCAGTATTTCTAGAGTGGGTAAGTTGAGTAAAAATGATGTATGTGTGGACTATAGTGAATGCATTTGGAGCTGTATTAATACTTCTTTGAAATGGATGTTTCAAGTAAGAATGTATCTTTAGTAATATCTTTAGTTTCTCCCAAACCTTACATAAAAATACATTATAACTTACAATTTTCAAAATGCCATCTATATAAGTACAGTGAAACCTGTAAAGTGGAACACCTCTGTAAGTGGTCGCAAGACAAACTGACTTGAATATTAAATGAATCTCTAAATTTGGAACACTTCCTAAGTGGAACATGTTTTAGAGGTACCAGAGATGTTTCACTTAGACGGGTTTTACTGTATAATGTACTTACACTAGCAATCTGTACTGAATTATGATTTTCTTTCAGCTTGAGGCAAAGTTCCCTGGTTTACAAGACAGTATAACGGAGTACTTCTGGTTAACATGGGGCTTCATAGTAACGTGGAGCCTATGGCTTTGGCAGCATTTGCAGTATTATGGTGCCATTATGTGGCAACATATAGCCCATTATGGGGCCATAGTGTGGCACTATATGGGTGTCTATGGTGCCATAGCCTGGAATACTATATTGCTGTGGAGCATGTGGGCGTGGCAACATGTCGTATATGCTTGGGCAGTTATATCAAACTGGCTCTTGGAAAACATATTCAAGTTAGTATATGTTCTGTTTTGTAACTGTAGTTATATGTGCAATTTAAAGTAACACTCGTGGTTATCTGGTCTACATTTTGTAGCTGTTTTGTCACTTCGAATTAGCAATTTGACTGGTAAACTATCGTAGTTAGTACTACAGCTAAGCTTTCAATTAGTTAGTGAATTGTTTCACTAGGACTAGGGGATCAATTCAAATTATAAACAAAAATATATTTTCACTGTATCGGCATAATGATCTATTAAAGAGCTACCATGCTTCTTATTTCAGAGGAAACTTATCTCCAGAAAATCTTCAACGTATTCTCAGTTCTTGCCTGGTCTCTCTACAAGGCTATATATCCAGTTTCACTCAGTGGTGCTATAAGATCATACAAGGAGAGCCATCTATCCAGGCCAGCTAGTCGCATCATTACGCTACCACTCTACATGATATAGTCAAGAACTGCCGTGACCACCCTTTTAGAAGTTTGCCCAATTATATGTGTCATTCTAGCCATGCTTTCATTATCAAAACCTGAAGAATTTAACAGTCAGCAATTGCATGAATTCCAACTTTGTTTGGAAATGTTAGAAATAAAGAATGTTATAGAACAATGCAGAGAAGGCATGGCTTGAGTGAACTTTTTTGGCTAATATTGTATGAACCTTTGAATTGATATTCACCAGTTTTGATGTTCTAATGGCTGTTATGTGGATTAGTAATATAAATATTTGCCTGATATTAAAGGCGGAATGTGGTAATGAAGTATTATGGCACCATTATTCTGTTCACGCTGGACTAAATTGAAACCACTTATCGTCCATATAGGTGCCATTTAATTTAATTGGTTTGCAACATCTGAATCTATATAATTATGTGATTTCAAGGTGTATCTACGCTTGCCCTAACTATTGATTGTTCATTTATTTTTCCCATGACAAGATTACCATTGTGATTGTTGTATTGTGACATCATATACTATTACTATGGTGAAACTTTCATTTTTGTCCTACTTAATGACATTTTAAAAAGTGTGAGACTTGCTTATATTGATTGATTTTTCAATTAAGTATATTTATGGTATCACTATGTTTTATGATATCAAAATGAAGCAACTTTTAATTTAAATGTACTTGATTATAGTATATAAGTAATAAAAAACAAGGAAACAGCGAAAATAATTACATGGAGATAAAGTGTTCAACAAGTGATTGGTAGTTGTGATATATTCTGGTCATACACAATTACAAGTGTTCTAGTTATTTATTTCAAATAAGTGATACAAACCTAGTCTTGCTTCAAGACCCTGGAACTCTAACAAGTGATGTTAAGAAAGAGAGCCAGCTCCACAGTCTTGAATCAAGACTAATACAAACCACATGTACATGTACAAACGTGACATTTATAGTGACACATATTGCTGTGAACATCATATTTGTACCGCATTTGTTCTATTTCATGTTATTCTTTTTTGTGTTGGTAACTTTTTGTAGAGGTTTTAAACCTCTTTGTTCAGGGTGAAGGGTGGACTGTGTAAGCCGAGTCATTGTAACACATATAATCATAACTTATTTTTGTCATGAATAAACATTTAATAGCGAAGAAGTATTGTTTTGTAATCTGTCTATCTATTTTGGTTTTGTGAACTATTATTTCACTATTTATGTTCGGAATTATTCGCTGCATGCGGGATACTTCAAGTCATAGTCAAATAGCTTGAAATCCCAGAAAAACACTAGACTCAATTTATCCATCAAATAGCAAGGAATGCTTTCATAATATTTCACCATTTTCGCTGTAGTTTGTGCCTTTTGATCTTTGAATCGAGCAGAAATGAATCCCAGTTTATATAAAATGTAATTTGCATCTTGCGATAGCGTTTCAACTTTCCCAATGTAATTATAGTCTATATCACAAGGTTTACAATATTCATAATATTGGACCCAATGGTCAGCTAAATGATGTTTTGTCTGTCGGGGCTCATCTACTATGAATTGCAAGAACTCTTGAAACGTCACATTGATCTTTTCGTAAGGTAACGCCGAGGCATTGACATTGTGGTATTTGGCCATTATTAGGCGTCCGAAGTGATCCCGTTGAAATGATTTCATTTGGGGATGATACTCTAATCTATCCAGAAATGCCGATAACAATCTCTCCCAGGGGTTGCGTACAATCAGAAATCTCACATGGTGATGTTTAGTGTCAATATTTGAACTATTTGTTATATCTGTTGATCGAGGATCCAACTTAGCATCTAAATCAAGAAATGTCTTATTCCAGTTTGTATATCCAGCTTTGAAAACTGGACACCAGAGTAGGTGGAATGGATACGTTGGGAATGTTATATTGCGAATGTAGGTTTGGGGATAGCGGTAAAACAATTGTGGGTTCTCGTATTCTGTTGAACGTCGGAACAGCTCGCACATTTTGGAGAGATGTGATTTTCTCTGTACCATGTGTTCCTTTGCAGACTGATGTTCCTCCGTGCTCCTCTGGAATAAATGAAAAAATAAATTATGTTTTTGGCTCACACGATGAAATAATTAAAGAGGGAGAGATGAATCATTCGACTAAACCAATGATCATCTTCAGCTCATTTTATACGAGTATATCAAGTTCTGATTATTTACTCCATGGGTCCTGGCTCCTCTTTAGCTTCTATTAAGAAACATCGGTTTTCTTCACTTCGTGAGCCTACCGAATGGTGCCATTGTTTATAAACTCGATGGATTAAAATATGCAATAATATAATTAAGTACTAGTATATACTTATTTTTCACATTTAACATTAACTCATACATCGAAAACATAATTTTTTTAAATATAGAGCTGATTTATAGCCTTTACCTGTAACAATCCATCAGCCAAGCTACTTATATAGGCCTTTGTTAAGTTTATTATCCTTGTAGCGTTGTATGTATATTCATCAAACTGACGTTTCATTTGCGAGGTGCTTTTTTCTACTTGATTGATGCTTTTGATATTTGTATACATCACAAAAATGCAAAACGTCAGAATAAGAATAAGTGGTGTTCTTTTACCACAACACATCCCTTTCTTCGCCATTGCAGTGTTTAATTAGAATTTCTCCTCAATAAAACGGTGATACCAGAAGAATTGGAAAAGATGAAAAGAAGCAATATTTTCACATAGTTTGTATTGTTAAAACGTGTTTCTGTCATTTTATTACTTTTCACTGTCACTGATCGTGTCAGTGTCACTTATTGAGAGCCTTTGAAATGAGAGTAACAAACGGGTCAGTCCAATAACATTTGTCACAAAATGTAGTTAATGTCGTTTTGACTTGACGTTTTGACCACTTCCCCTCTAAATAAAACCCACTTTGTATAGAAATGACTGCACTGGATAAAACAGCATCAACCCCAGGGATAAAAAATTGATGCAATGAAAACAACAAATGTACCCAATTTATCCCCTCCCTTGCTCCCAAATGGAGATAATTATGTCTTTTGAACGAATTCGATGTTTTGAGAAAACCCCTAAACCATATTTTTATTATGATTAAGTGTTTTCCCTTTGCTCATAAATCAGTAGTGTTGTGCTGAGATCAGTTCATTCAGTCCTACCTTCCATCGTCATATTTTCTTAATCAATGTGTTTAGAAACTCTTGTTTCATATAAGCGGTTTCCTTCTCTGTATTCTGTCCTTATTTTTGTGGTCTAGCTTGTCCAGTTCATGGTTTTTGGACGGTGTGATAAACAAAACAGGTATTCAAAACAATGCCTTAAAACTCAAATTACTGGTCCACCGTGTTAAAAACTGTTTATTTATATAGAATTATTACATATACATGTGTATAAAGGAGGAATTATGTCTACTTGAATAGGCTCTACCCAACTGTGTTCGGGTGTTCTTTCCTTCTCACGGTGCTTTTTTGTGGGATCGGATGATGTAAATCCAAGCCCTCTTATCAGGCCTCCTAAGAACAACAGTTCTAACCTTGCGAAATACGTTCCTTGCTCGCGAACCACACACCTGATCGAAAAACTTTCGTAATATTATTCGCATTATTACTCATAACTAAAAATGCCAAATACCCGGATGTACTATATACAAATTGTTCGCGAGCACGGATCTCTGTGCGCGAGTGGAGAAATATGTTCGGGAGCGAGGAATTTGTGGTGCGCGACTAAAGAGTTCACGTTCGCGACCGATATGATGTGAGAATCGTGGTTTGAGTGCAAGGAACGCAGTTCGCGAGTTCAGAACTGATGTTCGCATTGGTGGAAGTTTAGGAGACCTGCTTATGTGTTGGTGAGAATCTGTATTGTCTATTTACTTCTTTTAAAGATGTCACCCTACGTTCAAAGAAATGTCTCTGACTTTAAGGTGGGTCGGTCACAGGTGTCATACCATTAAGGTGGACAAAGTAAAATAATCTGACTGATCAGGATAATAACTTTTACACGTAGCCTTGTAAACTGATATTTGCCCACTTTAGCGATTTTTTTCTAAAGGTAAACATGATTTCTCATGTGGGCTTTAGACCTACAGGCAAAACATTGAGTTACAAAATTATCATGTTATTTTCTGAAACATGCATGAACGTCTGAGGGTGTTTATCCCATCCGGAGGGTCGCGGTATGCCGGATCTCATGATATGCCAGATTTCATGACAGGCCTGTTTTTGATTAATGATTTTCTGAATGTTTACGGACTCGGAGTTTAATTCTAAAATGATGTAGTAGCTAAATCAAAGAGCAAGTCAAAGCTAAGTCAAATGGTAATGTAAGGGGAAGTTATGAGATATTGCCTTGAGCCTTTCACACACAGGAAGATTATATCGGACCCCGTACAAGCTTGAACGAGGCCCGTGCAAAGTTGCCCGTTGGAGAAACGGGGCCCGTACAAACTCGTACGAGGCCCGATGCAATTTGACTGTAATCTACAGTACAGTAGATTTGTTTTGTTCTTCTCAGTTTTGCTTATTTAAGCTTTGTATAAATCCATGTTCAAATTGCAAAATTGTATTTTTGAATTTTAGATAAAGTGGATATATAAGCTTACTTTAGTGCTTCTGTATGTATTTATGTTATTTTCGTTTTTCTCAACTGAGTTCTTTGTGGGTTCTCTTTTGTATTAACTCTTATCTTTATTATTAACTTCTCCATTTATGAACGATTTTGTTGGCGTATAAATGACCTGGTATTGAATCCTTTCTGTAATACGTACTCCATTTTGCGACTCAATAGAATTTTAATGAATCATTTGATTCAGATCTGGCTCATTGGAGCCAATTTTATACAATTAATTCTATGTCTCGTAATATCAAATCATGGTTGAAGAACCTTTCCAATATATTAATACAAATGATGTGTAGTGGGTAGTTATTCGAAAGCTTTTGATTAATTTAGTTCTCTTTGAACGTATCGCATAATTGAGTTATGGGTTTTATTATTTCTTAAAGATGTCGACATCCCAGTTATCATTTTATACGAATCAATTACTGTATACATATTAGGACATCTTATATTGAAGGAAAGGTCAACAGTTGTAAGGATCACAGGAAAGAATTAGGCATTTTTTCTCTAAATATCTCTTGTTCTGTTGTCTGCCCCTGTAACATTATTTCAATGTATTTCTGCATACTTTAGGTAGATCTCGGGATAACGTTAAGAAATAACTATCCATAATTACATTGGTTGAAAAATCTTTGGAAATACTACAGTAATTTTTTTTGAAATCACCATTCATAAACAGATAAACCTTTAAAATGACCAGTCGTGACTACAGTATTTTATAAATCGTCATAAATGACCAATTTGCAAACAAAAAGGTTTATTTTTCGTAGTGACACTAGTCTAGCTACACCCCCAAAATGCAATCTGATTTTCGACGCCGTGTTGGTGCCAAATTTCGGTGCCGTTTCGGCAATGGACTGACTAGTCCGGTGCCAAATTTTGGTGTCGAAAGGTGTCGGTGCCGGAACGGTGCCGAAACGGCGCCGAATTATATTGGCTGTGTACACGCCTCCACCTCAACAACTCATCTCGCCACAAGAGTTGTGTTGGTGAGGTAGATAAGGGGGAACGTCCAGTCTTGAAACAAGACTATAGTGACACGAGAAGCAACAAACGTGCTGCATCGCTACAAGCATTTTAGTCAGTAGCATTAATCCAAGTCCAGGAAAATCATTGTCCCAAGGGTGACATAGCTGGAATTTAAAAAATGATGACTTTTAGAGGTTGAGGCAGTGGTACAATAAAATAATGTCAAACAAATTAAATGTTGCATGATTCGGAGGAATAATTCCAAGGAATTGCCTGAAGAAGAGTCAGCTATTTTAATTCATCTGATTTATTTTCTCGTTTCATGCACGAGTGAAAAACACTTCTGACTGTTATGATACCTCTCTAGAATATTGCTCACAATTTTATTTTGAAATATTTTTTATCATCCAACCCAGTTATTGTTGCAAATATTGCAGTAAAATCTTTTTCAATGAATTTAATGCATTTCACAATTTTTGGAAATTGATCTCATCATTTTATCTGTAGACTTGTGTCTTAGCTGTATCTTTCATTTCTATACAATGTTCATAGTTCATGACGTATATCTCGCCATTTTTCGTCTAGCCTACAGAAAGACGTGATCTCTCTAATTGAGGGGTTGATATCCGCAACTGATATACCACCATCATCTGTTATGTCGTTTTATCAATATCCGATACAGAGATTGAACATAAAGTAATGATGCAATTGGAGAATACCATTTTATTGCCCATAAATATCTTGTCTCAACACCCTGTGATTCAATGTAATGCAGGTGGAGGACTCAGTTAACATATAAACAATAAAGGAAATTAGTTTGGAGTTAATGCTCTAAATGGGGTACAAAAATTGAGAAATGAAACACGTATCCCCAGGATTTTTATTTATGGATTGGTACTGAAGACCCATTATTTTGTATCATTCGCTTGATGAATGGTATTATACTTCAAGATTCTAACTTTAGAAATATTTATTGAATTGACATCATTGTATGTCATTACATTACATAATGATGACATCTCCTTTGAATCTGAATTGATATTGGGAGGTTTCAGTTATCATTCTTCGTGAACAATGGAAGCTGCTGAATCGATAAAAAGTTGATTCACCTGAAATTTTCATCGTACCACAGTATACAATATACAATACAATACAATACAATACAATAAAATACAATACAATACAATACAATACAATACATGGTACAATATTGTCGTCATGTGGCCGAGGGTGAATTGCATGATCTTTCTTTTCTGGCTGAACCGGATCGATAGGTTTTTAAGGAAGCTTTTTGTCGAAAAATCTAGAACTGATAAGTTTTTGTGCCAATATACTTATACTTGGTAAATTTTAAGGTGGCCATTTTTCACTTTGAGGCACGAGTTTTTCACAGTTTGCCTTGTTATAATTTTGTTTTAATTGTAACGAGATAACAGCAATCCAAAGAGTAGCAAATTCCACCAAACAAAACATATTTTATCAGATACCTCTTTAATATGGATATTACATGAAAGAAATAAAATTTGCACCAAACCCTAGTGTATAAATTATAAGTTATTATGAATCATTTTTTTCATGAAAAATAACATCCATTTTGAATGAGTAGCCATCTTGAAAATTCCTTCTTGAGTCCAGTCCTCTGTCCCTAACGTATCAGCATACAAAATTTGAACCAAATCAGCCAACTGGTATTGTTATCAAAGATTTCATTTTTTCGAATAATGGCGGTCATTTTCAATTGAGCGGTCATATTGAAAATTCCCTCTCGAGCAGAGGTCCTACATCCATAAGGCATAAGCCTATAAAGTTTGAACCAAATCCGTGAACCGGTATTTGAGTTATTGCCCGGCCAAACGAACGAACAGACGGACAAACAAATGGATTGGTAGTTTCTCTTTATCTATAACTTCGTTCGGTTGGACGACGACGACGACGACAACGACAACAACAACAATGTTATTTAAGCATGTATCATAGAGACGTTTGGTACGCTTGGTAGTGTTCCAGAAAAATTGTAAATTGGAGATGACATTCCTATTTATAATCCTTGGGCACTCCAACCTTTAACAAGTAATTTTCCCAACGTATGGACATTTTTTCAAAATTACTTCACAAAATCAAATCTACATTGTACAGTCGTACAATTGAAAGTTATGCTTTTACAAGGATTCAGTTCTATAGACATAGATGTAGATCTAATGTCCAAAGATAACTCCAACTTCATTAAGATAATTGCATTGTATATTTGAACATGTCAAAATCCAATCTAAACCTCTTATACAGTTGGATTAGGTCTGGTTTATAAATGTTTTCATAAAGTGTCTGCCTATTATACGTGGATTTAGAAATCACCTGAGGAAATTGGTATTTTGACAAGTTTGTCTTTTCAATCACATAATTGGTATCTTCCGACAATGTCTCAAAGTTGCCTATGATGTCATAATGAATCTGACATGGCTTGCATAACTCAAAAAAACTTTGCCAATGTTCATCTCGAAATCTGATTCCTTCAAATGTGATAAACTTTATAAATTCTTCAAAACGAACCCCTTCACCTTCATACAGATCTTTAATCGTAGCATTTTCACGATATTTTTTAAGAATGACTGAACCAAAATGTTCTCGATAATAAGAGTCATTCGTTTCCATGAACTTATTTTTCCATGTGGAGTAAAATCTATCAAGGGGATGCCTTGTGAACATAAATTTGTAATAAGTATCAATGATGTATTGTCGTTTATTTGGAGCTATTTTACCAAGGGGTGTTAGTATGTGGCCTTTATACCACCGTTTCCAATCTCCCCCCGTAATATTGACAGTAAGTTCCTCAATGGGCATATTGTAAAAGTTTGCAGTTAGAATCTCTCTCCAATGAGTACTTGCTACTTTTGGAGTGTAACAATATAGGATTTTTTTCATTGGGTCCACGTAAATATGCCCATAATATTCCTTTGGATCTAGACTGCTATTCAATAGAGCATTCTTTGTTAGAGTATCGCAAATCTTCTCAACTTGTCTTTTCCTTTCTTCTAATATCTCGCCATGGGGTTGAACAACGACCTGCACAAAACAAGTAGCTTGTTATATCGAAACATTGGTCATTATTTTCCAATGGTCTTTTGATAGTGTGAAAACAATGAAGTTCTATAAAGTATCTTTACTGAAGTTGATGAAGATGTTTCAAAGCTCTAAAATTACAATTTATCGATCTCGATGCAATTGTTCGGAAACAAATATGGAAATCGATAATAAATTCTTTACCTGTTTATTTTGCCGATTATTTTTATTGGGCTCAATATTAACTCTTTCAAAATGCCCAGCACGTCCATCAATACCAGTCCTTTGTTTCTCTCCATTGGGATTGTTCATTTTTGAGAAAAATATTTGATGTAGTATGAATACTTGGAATATTAAAACGCCAATAGAACAAAGAATCAGGATCCTTATAGAACAAAAGGCTCTAGTAGTATTCAGCATTATTTGTTGGAGTAGACCAGTTAGTTGTTTTAGGGAAATGTTTTCGTAGAAATGTTTTATTGTTTTCGTTTCATAAATACATCCTTTTTCTGGTAAGTGCTATCGGTTTGTACAATATTACTTTAAATATTAAACCGCCAACACAGATATATGTTTAATTGTTTTCGTTTCATAAATACATCCTTACTTTTTGTAACTGCTGTCGGTTTGCACAATATTACGTGGAATGTTAAAGCGCCAACAGAACAAAGAATATATTGTTTTCGTTCATTCATAATATATATCCTTATTTAAATAAATGCATGTAATATTACTGCACATTTTTAGATCCTTCTTGTTTACTATATTTTGATAGGATTCAGAACCTCAACATATAACTAAAAGCCATGTGCATGTGGAATATTTGTACAGGGATAATTAAGAACTTCTATATAATTCACGTTTTAAGATCTTTAAATATGCTTACTTTGTACAAGAATAGTATATTGCATATGAGAATTTTTGATACTTTAAATCATTCCTGCGCACTGTTCCATTGAAATGCACATCAACAGTGATAAAGTGCATCAAATCCATTAATCTTTAATAAATAAATTAGTCCTTACTAAATGCCACCAATCAACTAATGTCATTTGTAATCATTTTTGGTTGACCTATTGGTCAGTTCCATAATCCAACTGATGTTTTATGATAAAGCTGAATGTTGATGATTTAAATATTGTTGATTTGGCTCTTTGGTAAAATATGAAAACTAAGTAGTGAAGGATATATCGCTCATTACATGCAATCTTAGTTGCTGGTTAAAATGTTAATAGGGGCATTAGGATTCAGTACCAAAGGCCCGAGGCAGGCAACTAATTAGAACATATAGACAGCTATCATTGAAGTTTATAGACTTGCAAGTATGTTTTTTTCTCTGTGCTTAACGTGGTTTTGCACTAAGGTCTAAACAAGTACATACTTTGTTCTACGTTCTGGCAAACACAAACTCATAAGCCCCCCCCCCCCCCCCCCCTTATAAAAACGTAAACTTGTTAGCTAGGAAATGTACCGGGTGGGTATAAAAATAGGCCTGATATCTCAATAACCCTCTTACCTCTAATTTGCACATGTGAAACTAGTTAAATATACAAATGAAATTTCAGTTATATCCTTAAAAAATTCTGATAATGCGATCAAAATTAGAAACATGAGTCAAAAACACATGTTCCGGAAAATTTCAATATGACGTCAATCCTTGTTACATTTGAAAAATTGATCAATTGGTTCTCTACCTTCTCTGAAGATGGTGCACCACTGTTTTTTTCATGAAATGATTGAGTTACAAATGTACTTTAGCATATTTAACGGATATCCCACCTTTGTAGGTGTCTGAACTTCTACCAAATGTGCCAAATGTCTTTGTCGAACGTCAACTTATATGGATTAAAATGGTCAAGATGGTTTTAACGTCCTTATAATAAATATCATAGACTGGGGTCATATTTTTTGAAAACATAGTTCTCTTTTGTTTTCCAAGATCTGCAACCGTACAATGAATTCCCAAAATCTGAGTACTTTTTTAACTTCCGAAATGAAGAGGGAGCATTTTGAATTCTTTGTTCTTCGAATTAAAAAAAAACTCTGACTCCAGTGTGTTGCTAATTCAAATTAGATTTAGATTTTTCTGAGGCCAGGTCGTGAATTATTACTGTAAATAAACTTGTTCATCTTCTTTATATACCTGTAGCTCCCTACAGTTGTAATATGGGTGTCATTTCCTGAACAACAACTTCCAATATCAGTCTACTTTTCACAGGGATTGACAAAACAATAATGACATAAAGTCCAAATTGGTAGTTAATGAGACGGCTCAAAAAAATTACTTTGATCTAAAAGCCCATGATATTGTGTAAAACAAATATGGTCCTCCATGGATTATTGTCCGACCAATTTTCGTATTGGAGCATCTGTATATTAATGCACGCTGAATTAGGTCACTGTATTGATGTATGGGGGAAAATAAATACTAATAGGATAAGGCAATAAACACTAATCATCATTCAATATCGAGCTTCTTCTATCGCAGCTATGGAAAGGACTGAAATGCACTTAGACCAAAGACTCTGCTTAGACCAAGGATGAACACTAATAAGCACTGGGAAGATCTAGATCTATCACATCTTCGACTTTAGGTGGAGCAACTGAAAACTTGTAAATCAAGATGGAACTATCAGCTGTGGTAATGTTCCTCCATTCTGATAGCTCTAGCATCTTTCTGTCTCACCTGAAACAGGGCTGAGAAGAAATGAGATGTCATGGCTCATCACGATGACATTCCTCCTTATTTAGTGAAATCACAATGTTCATTTGAAGATGAATTTTGATTTCAGCTACCATTGGCTGTTCTTCTATCTTTCTGAAGTTACTCTTAACTCCCGATGCATTCATCACGTTGAAGCTTCAAAGTATTGTTACAATGAACCTGTTAAATAATAGTAATGTCAATGTCAAAAGCTTTCAAAGGGTTCGCTGAATGCTTTTTATACACTATTTCATAAAAGCAGGATAATGGATACTGTCATAGGTGTATATTTATTCTCATTGACTAATGTATGTAAAACATATCAAGCCCTGTTATTATATCATGTTCAATTCTGAGAGTAGGGGTATTTCATTGCTCACAATGATATCAAACGAAATTGGTGTTGGATTTTTACAATGCACTAAAATAAAGTGTTAATTGAAACTTATGGGCAAATTGATGGCTGGCTATTAATTGATGTCATTAAGGCGGCTGATTGATTTGTGGTTTTTCCCTATCAATAGCCAAGGGAAATAAAGAATAGAAATACCAGGAAATAAGGACACGGTTTTTATTTCAAAGACAACGCCCAGGCGTTATACTTTCCATTTATAATATATATTTGAGGAAATTCACTCTTGAGTTGAGTTTTTATCAATGCAAAAAGCCAAAGATGTCACATTTTTGCCAGAGTGAAAGAACGTTAAGGTCTGGAATGTGATGTTTGTGGGAGTTACAGCATGTAGGAAGCTGACTGTACTGAGGATGATAGATCTAGATCGATCGCCTCAAAACACACCTGAACTGAAATACGTCATCATTGAGTACATCATGAGTGTAGCTGATTGATACGTCGCCACTTGGAAAGAAATATAGTTTTTCCAATATTTGCTGAAAATATTGGTAACGTCAATCATAGAAAAAACATTACAAATGATTCATGTAAATGGCCAAATAACAGTTCGAAAGTGTTTTTGTAATACATAATAAATTACTTTTAACACATATTTATCTGTTTTACCTCACTATCTCGCTAGAAACCTGCTCACACCGGAATAACCTGACAACGGTAAAGTCAGATGCCGTTGTCACAAATGGCGGACATAACCGTCGTTTCAACTGTTTAATCACTTGGTCCTCATTTCATGGGATTTTATCGTCTCTAATTCTGTGCATGTATTAAGCTCTTGTGATGATGTTTCAAATGAAATCCCAATTTTGAACAAATTTGGTCGTGAATCGCCACAATATCACAACCGTTCTTGAATTAAAACGCTTTATTAACTTAAGGATTACTTCGTAATAGTTCTAAAAAGAATACCCCATTCTTATTCTAGTGAATTTTGACATTTCTACAACCTGAACTTTCAATTAAAGACAATTAATAAATCCCTCTTTTCAAAGGGTAGTTTAGGGCCATAATGAACATCGATAGTATCTAGACATAAAGGCAAATCATTTACGTGGACACATTTATTCACACATAGCAAGATGTGTCCGATTCAAGCCAATCCGAACACAGTATTTCATATACATGCAGTGCATTATATCACCTATCACTGTATCCAAGGTCGCTTGTTAAACAGTTGTCAATGTGATAGCTTGACTCTCAAGATTGAAAATGATACCTTGCCAACTTGACCCTTGCAAAAAGTTTCATTGAAAATATGTTCTTTTGGTGATTTTGTATCTTTTAGGTGATTTCGTAGAAAATATTTTGCAAAGTGTGTAAAGAATTTAAGCCCAAAACTGAATGCATTGTGGCTGTTTCATCCATTCCACTAGGGCGTTGTTTCCTATACTTTACATTCCCGCTGCGCGCTCATGCAAAGATTTGGAAGCAACACATTCAATGGGATGATTCAGCACACAATGCAGCAAGTCCAGGGCTTAAATCCTTAGTTAACTCTTGCACCGATCCGTACCTTTCCCTTTGACGAGTTATTTGGTAAGCAGATTACAAGGGAAGGTTTCTGAGATATCCTCGTCCTCCGACCGCTAAGAGTTAAGAATTTTGTTCCGCCTAATCCGTCCATAAAGCAAGCATTTATTTCAAAAAGATGGGCGGATACCTCAATTTTTTATTTAATGAATCATTAAGTAAATCATGATAAAACAACGGTTTGCATTATGATATGGTCTATTATGAACAACTCTCCACAAGTTGTTTTTCTTTATGGTCATCTGATTTGAAAATACAAATGATTATCTATAAAAAGAATTATATTTGACCTTCAGTGCTGTCCTTAATGTACCTTAATGAAAATGCACATTAACGCATGGAGACTCCGAACGGTTGACCCACCTTAATGTATGTCCAAGTGCCTCACCTTAATGATAATGCACATTAACGCACCAAGAGTCAAAATGTTTTAAAGGCTGACCAACCTTAATGCAAGTCGAAATGATGTTTGATCATCCTGAATAGTTAAAATGTTACCTGACCTCAATGATAATGCATATTTATGCTCCGATTGATTCAACGGTTGTGCCACTTTGATAATAATGTACAAATATGCCCAATGGTTGACCCTGAATGGTTTGAATGTAGTCCTTCCTTGATGATAATGCACATTGATGCATGAAGACCCCGAATGGTTCAACGGTTGTGCCACTTTGATAAGAATTTACAAATATGCCCAATGGTTGACCCTGAATGGTTTGAATGTAGTCCTTCCTTGATGATAATGCACATTGATGCATGAAGACCCCAAATGGTTCAAAGATTGTGCCACTTTGACAATAATGTACAAATATGTCCATTGATTGACCTTGAATGATTTGAATGTAGTCCTTCCTTGATGATAATGCACATTGATGCATGAACACCCCAAATGGTTCAACGATTGTGCCACTCTAATGATAATGTACAAATATGCCCAATGGTTGACCCTGAATGGTTTGAATGTAGTCCTTCCTTGATGATAATGCACATTGATGCATGGAGACCCCAAATGGTTCAAAGATTGTGCCACTTTGACAATAATGTACAAATATGTCCATTGATTGACCTTGAATGATTTGAATGTAGTCCTTCCTTGATGATAATGCACATTGATGCATGGAGACCCCAAATGGTTCAAAGATTGTGCCACTTTGACAATAATGTACAAATATGCCCAATAGATGACCCTGAATGATTTGAATGTAGTCCTTCCTTGATGATACTGCACTTTGATGCATGAAGACCCAGAATGGTTCAACGATTGTGCCACTTTGATAGTAATGTACAAATATGCCCAATAAATGACCCTGAATGGTTTGAATGTAGTCCTTCCTTAATGATAATGCACTTTGATGCATGAAGACCCCAAATGGTTCAACGGTTGTGCCACTTTGATAAGAATTTACAAATATGCCCAATAGATGACCCTGAATGATTTGAATGTAGTCCTTCCTTGATGATAATGCACATTGATGCATGGAGACCCAGAATGGTTCAACGATTGTGCCACTTTGATAGTAATGTACAAATATGCCCAATAAA